TAACATATCCTAAAACTACTAGGCCAATGTTATATATTTAGTTTAGTTGATTACTTACAATATCCCAGATGATCTATTTGTAAATCGTGAGAAAATTGCTATTTTAACCAATGAAAGGGGGTGTGTGAGCAGGGGTGAGGAGTCGCCATTTAAAGGAGTAGTTCACTTTAAAAAAAATCTTTTGCTGATGATTTACTCACTCAGTCTTGTTCGAACAAATCGAAAATGAACAAATCTTTTTTTGTGTCATTTGGTTCATTCAACGAATGAAATGAACGAATTGATTTGAGAAAAGATTTGTTCATTTTGATGAATGAGTTTGAACAGGAGAGTCACGAACGTGCATTACAGAACAGAGCAAGGCGAGCATTTGAGCTTATAAAACTTCAAATTTATTTTTTATTTATTAAATGAGCAATCGTTTCGCTTGATAAGACCCTTATCGGCTGGAATTGTTTACAGCCCTTTGAACAGTTTGCAGTTTGCACTGAAACTGTCTTTTGGACCTTGAACTGTTTGGTTACCAGTAAAGTGCATTATATGGAGAAAAATCCTGGAATGTTTTCATCAAAATAAAAACCTTAATTTCTTTTCGACTGAAGAAAGAAAGACATGGACATCTTGGATGACATCCAATGACATTTTTTTTAAAAAGTGAACTACGCCTTTAATGGCGTCCTATCCACGTTACCCCTGGTTTCCGCCAGGTTTGACCTTGTACTGCAATAGTAACCATGGCGACAGGTGTGGGTTATGCTGGTTATGCCTAGCCCTAGAAGGACGCTCACACTGTTGTTGTTTTCTTCAAACATGGACCATGGCAAACAGACTTTGAGACAAAAAGAGGACTAGAACAAATAAGGACGTCCTAACATATAGACAGATGAATTTAGCTCCAATGTGGCCTTTGTTTAACATGCACAGATGCACATAAACATTTTCTTAGTTTTAACAATATTTCAGGGTACGTACAAGGAAAAGGTAGTGAGGACTGTGTTCTTCACGTTGAGGGTGACAGGAACAGGATTCAGGTCCTTCTGTTCACTTATACTGAAGACAAACACAAACACCGTTCAGTCAGCGTAACAGAAACGACTTGTGGAATCAAATGCCTTTTATGCACAATTTGTTGAGGGGAATAATTGTGGGGAACAGTATACTGTATAAACCAGAAACCATCTCAGTAACTACATACGTACGTGGAGAGCTGAAGTTGAGATTCAATCTGTTCTGTGTAAAGTGTTATACCAGAGGTCTCAAAGATGATTTTCAATGAGGTCTGTGAAGACGGAACTCAAGAGAGAATAAATTAGCAAAAAAATTCAGCTGTACAGTCTGATTACTAGACAGGTTCATTTGAATGGCCCTTGGAAAATGAGTAATCAGAGGGGCTTTTTAATGTACATGCATAGAAGGTTACACATTGGACAGGTTTCAGTCAGACTGCTACCTTCTGTTTGCTTTTAAATGGGTTTCCCAGATCGCATATGATGGTGTCGTCTGCGCTGCACTCAATATCAAAACCAGGCTGTGATGAAGACAAACCAAGAGAACAGCAGTAAAAAGATTTGATTAATAAGATTAACAAGAAAAATTCTCAAGCAGGATCTTAAATTCAAATAGCAACCTAGCAACATATTGTACGAAGCAAATCCCAAATCCAAGGGAAATTTGTGCAGGATATACATGAAAACGGTATTGTTCAGATATTGCTCTTATAGCTCAAGAAAGCATAAGAGTTTGAGATCATCTCTGTGAAACAGCATCCCCATGTGGATTCACCTGAGTGCGCACTCCTGAGTATTTGAGTGTGGGGGGGATAGTGATGTTTAGCACGGCCTGATGGGCGTCCTCGGCCTGCCTCCCTTCATCTGGCGTGTTAGTAACATCCACCATCATCACCAGCTTCTTAATGTTACTGTTGAACTCCATAGTTTGACTGTGAACAAACCAGCATATTTTTCATTTGTATTCAAGCAATAGTTTTTAAGGAGGACTAGCTTTGTAAATTAAAGTAGAAAGTAGATACTTTGATTTCAGACTTTATTAATTAATTTCAGTACAGTAATCATTAGATTTATCGATAAGCCTGCTAAAATTAGAAGATAATTGAAATAATAATAGTATATAATAATTATAATGATAATTGAATTACTGCTTTCACTCAAAAGACAGCTGAACGTAGCTGTGAAACCTCCATCTTTGAATAAGTGCTAATGTCTCTCTCTCTCTCTCTCTCTGTGTGTGTGTGTGTGTGTATGTGTGTATGTGTGTGTATTCATATTCAGCAGGTTCCATCTAGAATCCTCACCTTGGGAAAGGAATGTAATTCTCATCAGCAAATATGGCCTTCAGCTGCAGGTTACTGATACACCTGTTGTCATCACCACACTCCTTGTGAAAGTTGATCTAAGGAAAAACACAGCAAATCGCACTCAAGAAGACCTTCGAGCAGAAGGTTGTGTTGGACTGAGATGGAGATGCAGACTGGTTGTACCTCAACTTTGTCGGTCTGGATCTGCTGGCCGCTCAGTACAGGGAAATCGTCCAGGTTCTGTAATGTTTGTTGTGCTGTCGCTTTCTCCTCATACAGGGACACGTTCAGTGTGAACACTATGGGCAGAAGTTTGTCCATCACTGGAGTCTGGAGAGGGGAGAAAACAACTCTTTTTATTCACTAAACACAGACTCAGGTTCAGAATTGTATACTACTACTTCTCAGATCGATTTAAATTATATATATATATATATATATATATATATATATATATATATATATTCATAAACACACATATGTATATTATATGTACAAACATTTATGTTGTGATTAATCATGACAAATCAATTTGACAGCATTTTCTGTAAATACAATTATAATATGCATTTTATATATGTTGACTGCTTTTCCTAGATAGATAGATAGATAGATAGATAGATAGATAGATAGATAGATAGATAGATAGATAGATAGATAGATAGATAGATAGATAGATAGAGTTATTACTAGTATTTAATTTTCATTTATTTACAAATATAAATTATACTAAAATATAATATAAAATTAATTTGAATGAATACATCCATTATTGTTATATTTAATAACATTAATTTACTTTATAAAATAATATATAATTAATATAAATATAATATAAGTATAAATAAACAATTATATTAATAATTATGTTAATGTATTTATTCTTTTTTAAGTAAATTCTACTAAATATATTATAAAATTAATATAAATAAATAGATAGATGCACTATTGTTGTTAAATATAATAATATATTAATTTACTTTTTTATAAATTATAACATTGTATAACATACTATATAATTACTTTAAAATAATTTAAACAAACATATATAAATTATTATTATTAATAGTAAAAATAATACTATTACACCAATTAATTTCTTTAGAAATAAATGCATGCTTAAAATGTAATCATCATTAAAAATAAATATATACATTTATCATTAATATTAATTATTATAAATACTACCATCAAACAGATAATTACCCTACTACAGCTACCTAAATGCAGGATTTGCATCAGTGTGTATATATGCGTGTGTGTGTGTGTGTGTGCTCTTGTATATATGGTTCATAAGCACACCAATGTGTATAATCACATGGATATTACAATGTAAACATGGTTTAAAAGGACACCTCCCATGCCCATGTACACCAAATGACTAAAAAACAAATTTTATTAAATCCAAAAATAACACAATTTTTCTATGATGGGAATGGGGATATAATATACAGTTTGTACTGTATAAAAATCCTTACACCTATAGTGTGTACTGTATGTGCATGGTGGTCTCTCACATTAACACTAAGTTCCAGCTCGTGACACGTGGGAGCAGAGACAGAGACACGGCCTGTATATGTGCTTTGCTTGTTGTCAAGGAAACGGACTCGGGCACCACGGCGATTCTGGTCCGCGTCTACAGTGAACTTCAGAACTGAAGCAGGAGGAAACAAACAGTGTGCGGTTAACCAATAAACACAGATGAAACACTCCGGAATCAGGGTTTCACTTACTGATGTCCTTCTTGAAGGCTTTGTTTCCATTGCTGAGAGAGTAACTGAAACACATCTTCACCTTTATGCTATAAAATTAACACATTATAATTATGTTAATTGCCAGGCCAACTACAGGACAAGTATAACATAATCATTTGACAGCTATGCAGTAAAAATCAAATGCATGTCTATCTTACCAGGAATTCACACACTGGCTTGGAATCACAATCTTCGGCTCCACTGTAAAGTTTTTGGAGAGGTGGATGACCGGACGCGACCTGGAAAACACACATCAAGCATCACATATTTTGAGGTTATCTTATAGTAGAGATTGATTTTTTTGTTGAACTCTTGTGACCAGCAGGGGGCGCTACAAGCACTCAGGGACCACAGCCATGCCTGGTGTTCATCTGGATGCTTGCTGTCTGTAATTATTGTATGTATGCATACATGTATGTGTACGTATGTATAATACATAGTGTGTATATACAGTGCAGTCAAAAGTTTGGAAACACTTTATATTTGTCTACAGAGCTAATTTCAAGGACTAAAAAGTTATTTTAAGGTCATGAGAAACATACATTTAAGAGTGCCCAAAATTTTGATTGAAAGTATTTGTTTATACATTTGGGAAAATAATATTTCAAAATCCCTCTGAATAATATCAACATCTATTTACAAATGCTGTTGAAAGACTGAACCTCAAGAGAGCGACGCGGTCATCCATGGAGCCCACCAAAATGTCAGGATAATCATTTCCATCCATATCCATTCCTCCACTGAGAGAGTAGCCGAACGTCTGAAAGCCTCTGGGACCCACTGATTTCCCCTCGATCACCTAAGAGAAAGAGCACACAGTAAATCATTCGTTCTTATTCTCACGGTCTCCAATACAAGGTCCAGATAGGTCAGATATGATCAACTGTTGATATATGGTCTATGATCACATGATTATCAATGATATAAACGAGTAGGTAGCTGTAGAAAAGTCAGTCCAAAATCATAAATAAAGCTGTTCCGTAAAAATTGTATGATGTTTTCCTTTACCTGGCTGGGATCCTTGCTTATTCCAGTTTTACTTCCCATCCATATAAAGACTTTCCCAGAGTCTTGGAACGGAGCACCAACAGCGAAATCTGAATGAACAAAACAAGACACAAACCCCAGAACATGTGATTAACTCTCCATGGCCTCCAGATGGCAGCATTATGACATCACATTAAATAACAAACTTTGCATATACACTCACCTAAAGGATTATTAGGAACACCATACTTATACTGTGTTTTACCCCCTTTCGCCTTCAGAACTGCGTTAACTCTATGTGGCATTGATTCAACAAAGTTGAATTTTGGCCCATATTGAGAGGATAGCATCTTGCAGTTAATGGAGATTTGTGGGATGCAAATCCAGGGCATGAAGCTCCCATTCCACCACATCCCAAAGATGCTTTATTGGGTTGAGATCTGGTGACTGTGGGGACCATTTTAGTACAGTGAACTCATTGTCATGTTCAGGAAACCAATTTGAAATGATTCAATCTTTGTGACATGGTGCATTATCCTGTTGGAAATAGCCATCAGAGGATGGGTATATGGTGGCCATTAAGGATGGACATGGTCAGAAACAATGTTCAGGTAGGCTGTGGCATTTGAACGATCCCCAATTGGCACTAATGGGCCTAAAGTGTGCCAACAAAACATCCCCACACCATTACACCACCACCACCAGCACCAGCCTGCACAGTGGTAATAAGGCATGATGGTTCCAATGTTCTCATTCTGTTTACACGAAATTCTGACTCTACCATCTGAATGTCTCAACAGAAATTTACATTTTTCCAGTCTTCAACTGTCCAATTTTGGTGTGCTCTTGCAAATTGTTGAGTCTTTTCCCTATTTGCATCCATCCGCCTCAAGGTTGTGCATGTTGTGGCTTCACAAATGCTTTGCTTCATACCTCGGTTGTAACGAGTGGTTATTTCAGTTAAAGTGTCTCTTTTATCAGCTTGAATCAGTCGGCCAATACTCCTCTGATCTCTAGCATCAATGCCCACAGGACTGCCACATACTGGATGTTTTTTTTCCTTTTCACACCATTCTTTGTAAACCCTAGAAATGGTTGTGCGTGAAAATCCCAGAAACTGAGCAGATTGTGAAATACTCAGACTGGCTCATCTGGCACCAACAACCATGCCACGCTCAAAATTGCTTAAATCAGATTTCTTTCCCATTCTGACATTCAGTTTGGAGTTCAGGAGATTGTCTTGAGCAGGACCACACCCCTAAATGCATTGAAGCAACTGCCATGTGATTGGTTGATTAGATAATTGCATTAATGAGAAATTGAACACTGGTTCCTAATAATCCTTTAGGTGAGTGTACACTTCCATTCAAAAGTTTGTTTGTAAGATTTTTAAAATGTTATAAATAAATCTCATTTGTTCACCAATTGCGAAATATTATGATTTAAAATATCTGTTTTTACATACAATTTGAATATATTTTATGTCATTTGTGATGCAAAGCTGAAATTTCAGCATCCTTACTCCAGTCTTCAGTGTCACATGATCCTTCAGAAATCATTCTAATTTGCCGATTTGCTGAAACATTTCTTATTTTTATCAATGTTGAGAACAGTTGTGCTGCTCCATTTTTTTTTGGGAAAAAATGTTTTTTTTTTCAGGATTCTTTGATGAACAGAAAAAGAACAGCATTTACAGTATTTGAAATAGAAACCTTTCATAAGATTACAAATGTCACTTTTGATCAATTTGATGCGTCCTTGCTAAATAAAAATAGCCAATTAAATGATTTTGATCATGCTCATGTGACATATATTATGCTTATAAATAATGATCATTTTATGACAGCATTCATATTTTTAAAATGGTGTTTTAAAACAATTGCATATTCATAATAGGAGTGCTACCTTGAAATCCGTCCTGATTGACGTCCCCCACTGCAGCGACAGCAAATCCAAACCCTGAACCTTTTTTCCCCTTCAGAACCAAGTTGGCTCTTTCCTGGAAGGAACCGTTCTCGTTCATGAAGATGTAAACCGCTCCTCCCTCCTCCTTGTAGCGGTCAAAGTAGAACGGTGCTCCGACGATCAGGTCGTTCCAGCTTCAACAGCATGAAACCACACAAATGTTATGTCTGAATGACTCATGTTTATTTGCACAGAAGCTTTAGTAAAGAATGAGAACGCTGCCAAATAAATGCATTCAGCCGTGTATCTGACATGCTTAAGTAATAAAGCTCAATGGGATCTTTTGCAAGCACGCATGGGGAATGTTAGACATGATTTGGTCTACTTCCTTTCAATTGACTTTTAAATGTAGTGAAGCGTCGTACGGATCAATCCCTGCGATGATAACAGATTACTTGATATGCAGACGGCGATATTGCCAAATTTCACCAATAAACCTGTGTGGCTAGTGCTTCTTCATACAGTGATGAATTGGATCCTATTGAATTTCTATTTATACGGACAAAATGTGTTATTTTTTAAATATGTATACTTGATTTGATGTGATGTAAAATCAAATACTACGGTATTATAATAAAAAAGACTTTTAATGGATTAGCCATTTACAGAAACAATAGGCTACTGTGATTGACCTACTCGTCATTGTTGAGGTCTGTTACCGCCAAGCAGCTGCCAAAGTATGACCCTATTTGTTCTCCTGGGATCGCCATCAGTGGGTTCAGAACCATATCTTGTTTTTCTGCCAGCATCACTGAACCCTTGAAATTGTCTCTGGGAGCCCCCGTCACAACAGTGTACTCCGAGCGATCCAGTAACTTCATGTCCTCCAGCACAGAGTAACCTGAGGAGAGAGATGAGTGTTCTCAAACTGTGTGACCAACTGTAGCCTGTCAAGCTACTAAGTTCATTTAGAGTCAAGAGACTTTTTTGAGAAAGAAGGAAAAAGTTATGCTTATAAAAATGTATGTATATATCTGAAACGAAATGATTAGAGACACCATTAAAGTATGTGAATTTGTCACATACTTAAAATATAAACAGAATTGATCAAATTATTAGAAGAGGATTGATTAAATAACACTAAATACTTACAAAAACACTATCAAATTTGATAAATATTACTGATATTGTTGACCAATTAACACTTTATGCTTAAATTCAATATGTGATCAATAATTTAAATAACACTGAACACTAGCAGTACAAACAAAATTAATGCATAAACATTACTGATACATTATTGTAAGATTATTCTTTAATAACATTTGCTATATATATATATATATATATATATATATATATATAAAACATTCAGTGTCATGCATTAAAATGCCATGCAGAAAACTGCAAAGAGATTCATATGAGTCAGCAAGACATTTTTTAATGGTTTCATTTAAATGCTATTTTAAAGGTTACAATAGTGTCGGTTTTATCGTATCAATTTGCAAATGCATGTAATGTGGATTTGCAGACAGCCAATGAAGACCGTAGGCTAGCATTATGCAATTGTCACATTGTTACGTAGGTTTGTAACAGGAAGAGAGAGTGGAATTGCTGACGACTCATTTCGGCAGTTCAGAATCTATTCTTTCTTTTAGGAGACAATCACTTTATTTGTTGTAGGGATGGGACGATAACCGGTTTCGCGATAAACCACGATAAAATATACTGACGGTTAGTATTATCGTTTAAGATGTAATTATCATTAAAACCGTGTTTGATTATCGCGATTTTAATAACTCACTGTAAAT